ACTTTTGCTCTGAGCATGCCTCTCCAAGAAGCAGGGTTTGAGGTTTCTCAGAAAACGCGAGGAGCAAATCCTCTAAGCCCTGCGATTTCTCAAGCACGTGCCCTCACCGTCAGCACCTCGCAGCTACGTGTACCCAGAGCACCTTGCAGAGAGGTGTTCACCCCGGGTGAGCTGTATTTCTGCTGGAGTCCTGCCAGCCCGGGGGGAGGATGGAGGGAATGAGCGTGCTGGATCGCCACACGAAATGTCTGCTCTGCTCGTGTGCAGTCTCTTTGGACGGCAGCCTTTTGGCTAGCCTCACCTGCCTTTTTCCCTTTTTTTTTCCTTCTTCCCCCAGCTGAACTGAGGGAGAGGAGGCTGCGGCTCCTTTCTGTCCCTGCAGCCTTCCTGTCTGGCTGTCTCTCTGCCCTGGACACAGATGTATACTTAACTATGAATTCTGTGAGGCACACGTTATGTTTGCGGAGGGAGCGCGGGGCGGGAGGATGCTGTGATCCGTAGGTGGGCTGCTGCGGTTGGGCTGCGAATAGCTGCTATCCTGTGAAAGAATGAAATAACAGAAACAATATACTGCATTCAGCCCTGGTTGTTTAGAAAGGAGACTGCAGTATGTTTTAACAACTGATTCTGTGTCCAGGCAGCTCGTTCATTTTAAAGTGTCCCATCCACATACCTCACCCTCTGTGAACTCATTTGCACTCGAGTTATGTCCCCTTGTGCTAACCTGGTGGCCGTTGATTGAGTCCTGTGACAGCTGTTTGCAGAGGTTTACCCGGCTCCTTGCCAGCAGCCTACCTCCCTCATGCAAATAGTTGCTCAGTTCCAGACGGGTTTCAAAATGTCTGAGTGAATGCTATCCTGGGCAAAATGGTTGGATTTCTAAGAGTAATAGCTAAGGCATGACAAATAACACCCTGCAAAATCCCATCCCCTCACTAGTCAAATAAGGTGAAGCGGGAGTGCACCTGCAGCGTAGAGGAGGCATGTTACAGCTTTAACATGTGTTAGTTGGTCAAAGTGAGCCCTGGACCAAGACCACAAACATTTAAGTTCCAGAACAAATGTTTGGGGTTGTACAAACATATTAACTACCTCCAGTTAATTGGCAAGCAATTACCTTGAAGCATAAATATCTTTCCCATAGCTGAGCAGTCACAGCATGCCTGTCACCCCATGAACACTTACTGAAATTTTCGGCAGAGGAGCCTTGTCCAATTTGCCTTCTGGATCCTGTCAGGTTTGTGATCAAAAATGTTTTGTCCTCAGCAGAAATTGCTGTTTGTTTGTGATGTAGACTCAGCAAACAGGGCTGTGTGCCAGAGCTAATTTTCATGCTGCTCTTTATTAAAGTTCTACAGTTCATAATGAAATTAAAAAATAAGATAATATTGACCAGAAAAAGCATGGAGTTCAGCAAGGGAATATACCTACTGTCTGCACTATAATGGAGCTATGGGTGAAAGCTAGATACGTATTTTTAACTTAAAGACAGGCTGGCAGGCTAGGAAACCTACTGAACTTTGAATCTTCTAATGCTTTGCATGACAAAGATACACAGCTGGACTGGATTTCATTAGATGTATGAGCAGTTGAGAACTGAGAAGCAAAGTCCTGCCTGCACCCAACACAGCACTTGGGACTACCAAATGAGAAACCTGTGGTCAGCTGCTTGACCTGTTGCCTCTCTGCTGCTAGGAAAAGCTATGGAAGTCAGTAGTATCTTTTCATGAGGTCTCTGGTCCATGCAAACCCATCAGTTTCTCCTAGAGCTTGGATCAAGTCCTTGCTTGATCCTCCACAACATTTTGGCAAAAAATGCTCAGATCATCTCGGTCTGTAACTAAACCACAAGTGGGTTTCTTTCTGGGGAGAGATTATCACAGCATTGCTGGGAAGGCAAAAGCTGGGCACACATGAATCAGTGGAGTCTGTCATTGAGCTCCCATGGCTGGGGGGCTCATGGTGGCCGAGAGGAACTAGCACATGGTTCAAATGGTCCCAGCTGAAGAGCTACCTTCAGCAGCACAGGGCTGTGTGGCAGCAAGCAAGGCGCTGCGTGCTCTGTCCCTGTCCTCACCTGCTACTGGTCATCCCTCTTCCCAGGAAGTATAATGTTGTGCCAAGGAGGGAAGCAGGTGACGTTGAGAGCCTCAAGAGAGGCAAGCCCACTCAGCTGGGATGTCTGACATCCACATGGATTTGTGTGGTGTTCCTCTGGATGCTGCAGTGCAGTGGAGGGGTCAGTCCACAAAAATCTTTGCAAGGCAGTTGGATGTCTCTGCCTTGCGTCCTGGAGGAGTGAGGGAGTGGCAAGAGGAAAACAAAACTAGCCAAGTGCATTCACAATCCTGGCAGCAGTACTCGGCAAACGCGGGAACCACAATGGTGGAGTCTCAGCTTGATCTCCCTGTGCAGCCTGGCTTTAGAAACTTTGGGATTAAGTTGAGCCTTGCCCAAAAGGGCTCCTGGCCCCGCAGCTGGCTCCTATAGTCATGTGGCCTTGTGTTTGGTATCTTGAGGTGCTTCAAGCAAGAGAAGCTGTAATGGGTGCAGATACCAGAGCTTTCCAGGAAACATTCAGATACAAGTGTAGCTCTGTTTGTTTGCTGTAGCTCCTTTGAATTAACTTTCTGTGCCTGTAGTGGCAGACAAATTTGCTGGCAAACGTTTTGAAAAAAAAAAAAAAAAAGAAAAAGGAAAAAAAAGGCATTGATCCAGAAAGGCACTGTGCACAAACTAAGCTTAGTATAAATGAGTACACCTGTGCTTAACGCTAAGCACGTGATGAATGCTCTGCTAGATCCTAGCCAAAATAAATTTTAAAATAAGTATCGGAGTGTACTCGTGGAAAATGAATGCTGTTCTTGCGAGCAGAAATGCGTGCAGCAGAAATAGGAGTCTGCCGCTCCGTGTGTCCGCTGGGGATATCCAGCAGGGAGGGTCACGTGCACTCCTTTGGAGCTCACCAGTGGAGCTGGTGAAAACAGGTTTTGATTTGAATGAGTTATGACCCATTGAAAATGGCATCATGCATAACCACAGTAAATTGTCATAATGAGATCACGAGGCTCAAAAAGTGTGCTGCGAGGAAAGAGGCCTCATTCCACCAGCGCACACGGCTGACTGAGCCCTGGGCTGCAAAACACAACGGAGGGGCACAGTCTTGTTCCCTGAACGTCTTGTCAGTTTAGCGACAGGACCGGAGGTTGCACAGCTGGACAAAAACCTCATTAGAAGTTTTGAGTTAAAAAGAAGAAAATGAGCCAGAAATTTTTATGGCTTTGCATTGAGTCTTACCCAGGGTAACAGAGGGGACTGGGCTAATGCAAATAGTGTAAAACCATGAATACCATAAGAGCTTCCATAATTACCGAGGGTTAGCTTGGTTGTTTCTAAACCATGTTGCTGTAGGAGGGGAGGGTTTGGTGATCAGGGCAGAGCACTACATAGCTGAAACCAACTCTCTCTGGAAGCATGATAAAACTGATAAAGGGACATCCCCGGGCTCACAGCTCTGCCAGGCCAGACCCTGCTCACGTACGGCTGCCCTGGGTTGCCCAGCAGTAAATACTGCAGAATCATACCTGGCTTTTCTATTTTTCATGGTGAGGGGAAGCCTGAGAGTACAGTAAGTTTGATGCACTTAAAACCTTACCAAATACCAAGCCCAGTCAACATAAGTAGTTTTGCCAGGAGTCTTGGAGGTGGACCTCTAGAAAGAACTCCTCTCCTTTCCCCCTCTCCTTTCCCCCTCTCCTTTCCCCCTCTCCTTTCCCCCTCTCCTTTCCCCCTCTCCTTTCCCCCTCTCCTTTCCCCCTCTCCTTTCCTCCTTTTCTTTTTGATACAATGCTATTTGTGTGGGACCATTCACAGTGCAGGAGTGTCCTGAAAGAAACGTACTTCAATTCATTCTAATTCTCTTCTAAATTTATCAAGTGCACGTGTCCATAGAGGCCTGTTGCAAAACACAATTCATATGATCTAACCACATCCTCCCACTCCCCGCAAGGTGGAGGGCAGAGGTGCGTTGGTGTAATGCATTGCCAGCTACAGGACCTGGTTCCCTTGTCTAGTACCTTAAGGCAAACCAAATTGCTTGCCACATGGTTGCCACTCCTTCTAGGCTTGCACCCTTCAGTCTCTTCTGTCTGTTACACTTAGCATTCAGATATCTGTGCCCCCGAGCCACGGAGACAATTCAGGCTGATGCTGATACTGATACGCAGCAACTTCCTGACTCATATAATCTGTTTGCAGTATTTTTATTATGATTAAATTCATAGCTTGAGTCCATGAATAGTGAAGTACCCAGTTCAGTGCTGTTCCGTGTAGTGCTTGGTCCTTAGCAGGTTAGCCCTTGGCCGAGGGAGTGTGCTTGCATTTACCTAAGGTTTACAATCTGAATGGTGCGCTGAAGCCTGAGTCATTCCCAGGACCCCAAACCTTCCATTGTGGGCAGATGAATCCATAGTTCCCTCTGCTCCTGCAGTAGGCACTCTCCAGGCCAGTCTGGAGAGGATGCTGGCTTGTCTTGTTTTCCTGATGTTGGCTCACTGACATTGCTGCAAGGACAGATGAAATAGATGGAGGCCAGCCAAGCTGAAGAGACGCTGGGGAAATGTGTCCCTGCATACGCTTAAGAGCAAAGCATGGGGAGCACTCGGGCTTTCCTGGTGCTAGTGTACCAGAGAAGCCTCCCCAGAGCTGACCCAGCAGGTGTTTCTGCATGCCAGAGCCATGGATGAACACTGGCCACACTGCAATACAGGTGCAGCTGTGGGGAGCCAAGGTTTTCCAGTTGGTGCCTCCTTTGTAGCTAAGGAGAACCAAGAATAAAAATGCTTGTGTAAAATACTTTCTGAATTTACTACTTCTTAAGCTTGCTCGCTGTGTGTCATCCACTGAGCAGAAGTCCTGCTGAGTTTTCATTCTCTAGTCTCAGCTTGGTAGGGCTGCATGAACCCCTACTAACATTCCTGATTTTTCTAATACCCATGTAGGAGAAGAATTTGGACTGGTTCCCTCGGATGAGAGCCATGTCCCTGGTTAGCAATGAAGGCGACAGTGAGCAAAATGAAATCAGGAACCTGCAGGAGAGGCTGGAGTCAACCATGAGCCTCGTAAAACAGCTTTCCAGTCAGCTTGCTGAGCTCAAGGAACAGGTAAGTGCCCTGCAGCGGGTAGCAACGTGAGCGTGTGTGGGTGAACGTGCTAGCTTTCATCAGGTCACAGTCAGGACAGCGTTACAAAAGAGACTTCTGTTTTAGAAAGGTTTTATTTTTCCTTTAGTAAGCTTTCTGAGTAGATACACTGGTATGGGTTTGGAATGAAATGGCACTTTATTAGCAACAGCAGAGAACAAGTAAGGAGAAAAGCCGAGGGGGAATTAGTTACGAAATCATCCCAGTGAGTGTGCAAGGACAGAGGGAAAACTGCAGAAGTGACGGTGGGCTTTGTGTATGCAGGTGCTGCATAACCCGGCAATAAAAAAGGTATCGCATCAGAAATAGCTGGGTACTGGTGGGAATCAGTAGAAAAGCTTTCTGAATCCAACACTTGGATTTTTATCCCCACTAAGAATATCAACAGTGCTGTTGCAAAAACAATTAGTGGAGCCTGTTGCTTTGCTTGTGTCACCCTTGTCTTTGGGCCCCTCCCGCCACTCCCCCTTCTCTCCTGCATGGAACAAGCTGCTGGCCTCCCTTAAAGCCCTGCTCCTGCCTAAACCTCCTCACGTGTTTTCTCTCCCCTCAGGACCAGAAGGCCAGCTCCTTTTTTGCTAAAGATGCTGGTCACCTCTGGTTTGCTCATTACAGTTTCAGAAAAGCATTTCTGTGTTTTCTTTATGGGAAGCACTTCAGTGACATCACCAGAGTTATCTAATTATCCCCCCTTCAAATTCTTCCTTAAAACTCTTTTTCCCTGTGAAAAACTCGACAGAGGTTTATGTTGGACATGTTGAGACCGTTGCTTAATTGTGCTTACCCATACCGTTCTGGTGGGGTTTTTTTCATCAGCTGAATCTGTTCTCTCCTGGCTTAAATTTAAACTCTCTGCGGCTGGGACCATCTTTTAATTCTCTGATTGTACAGCACCAAGTGCAAATGCTGACCCTCTGCAGGGCTACACAACACAACAGCGGCGCAAATAATACACTGTAAGACCTGCTGCTGGATAAGAATAATGTACAAATGAGAATAAAATGTCCATACTTTGCAGGAAACAGATCTCCCACTTCAAAGGCATCTCTTGTAATTTTCGGTGCTGAAGGAAAGAATTTCACTCCCTGTTGTTTTGCTTATATATGTCTTTCCCTGTGACTGCTAAATAATAGTAAAAAGGGAAAAAAAAAATCTCAACTCGTCTCTCTCTGCCTTTCCACCTTAGATGACAGAACAAAGGAAGAATAAGCAGAGGCTGGGCTTTCTTGGATCAAACACACCCCATGTGAATCATCACATGCCACCACCCTGATACCACGGGGAGAAGCCGTGACTAGCCTTTCATCAGTATTCCTGCTTTATTATAGAATAAAAAACTGAGATTGAGAGGAGCGAACAGTGCCTATTGTTACAAAGTTAAAAACAACCAAGTGCCAAGATGTTAAGTGGTTTAGCTCTGGGAACAATTTGTAGCTGTTTTTCATGGTTGAAAGGGACCACAACCTAGAACGCAAGAAATACAAGGGAGCTCATTTGTATTCGTTCACGGGGCCCGACTCAGCTGCGTTTGTGCTCTGCAACTCAATGGCTTTGCTGGTAGCTGCCATGTGTGATGGAGGTCGGGGCAGTGTTTGGCCATGTCCTTAAAGCTGCCTTAAGACTTATCCCTAAAGCACTGGGATAACCAAGACGAGCAGAAGAAGGAGAAATGTTTATTAACGCACATACGACAGCCTGGTTCGGATCAATGGAAGTCGTTTTTGGCTTATTTGCCAAATAGCAACATTAGTCATATTTGCTTGGCATTTACTATTTTTTAATTACCATAAATATGTCAGTTGAGTAAGCAATAATGTTGCTTCAAGTAACTTCTACTAGGAGGGAAAGGAGAGAAACCTCAAAAGACTGAAAAAAAAAAAGAAGAAAAAAATAGAAAAAGAGTTGCAAAGAGAAACATTAACGCTTTTGAATTTTAGCTGTCACCATGCAATTTCTTATTTATAACATGGAGCACAATGGATCTACAGCTGTGGGAATGTTATGCACATAACACTGACAACATAACTGGAAGTGATTTCTTTCTCCTGGCTTCAGATGTTCTCGATTAATGTGGCCATGAGATTTCACATACCGAGGAGTTAAACTGTGTTTTAAATTCAAGTTTCAATGGAGGATTCAGGAAAAAAAAAATTATACCTGTAGTTTGAAGCGCATATGGGATTTTTTTTGGTTTTTAGAAAAGCTTAGAAATGTCTTTCTGTGTGGAGCTGTAATGGTGTCATTACCTTCCATAATCTCATCTTGAGCGAGAGTTGACTTGAGTAAATAAGCACCATATCTTGCCAGCTTTCTTCTGAGCTAAAGCTCGGGGGCTTTACCTGCCTTTGCCCACCCTTCCTCTTTCAGGGGCTTGCAGGAGTGGCCTCTGCCCACAGGCCTGGCTGGTGGGGGACAGGGGGCAATGCTGGAGTAGCTCCTTCCAGCTCTAGGCTCTACGGAAGGCAGCAGCCATCGGCTATGCAGGTTTCTGCTGTATTCTGTATTTCTTGGGATGGCTTTGAAAGGAAAGTTACAGGGTTTCCACAGAGCCCAAGAGGGCTCTTCTCTCTTTTAGGAGAAGATTTTGGGGGCACAAATGGGAGTTGTGGTCCCAGTTCGCTTTCATTTTCGGTGGGTTTTGGGTACCTAATTGTCCTTGGTGCATTTGAAAATGTACCTCCATTACGTGGAGTCAGTCTTTAAACCAAAATATTTTTGCAATGATTTTCCCCCTGTAAATTTTCCATTTTGTTATAAAAGCCATTTTGATCGAATGTGAAAATATTATTGGCTCTGCTAGTTCTAGTTTGCCCCTGAAGAAATTCTGACGTCTTATTTAAGGTACAATTCAAACCAACAGAACTAGAGCAAAGGGAAGGAAGGGGCATTTCCCTCTCTTCATCCCAAATTCAAGCCTGTTCTTGGAAGCCATCTCTTTTTTTGTGCCAGTGAGGTGGCTGAGGTAATAATGCAGTTTAGGGTCTGATTCTTCTACCATTAAAACATTTCCCATTGGCTTCAATTGTGTCCTTCAAAAGTACTGCATGGAAAGCAGGGATTTTTGTATTTTATGGAAAGGAAATCTCTTTCTGTTGACTGTCCTTTAGTCCATAGAGCATCCTGGTTATAAGAGATGATGGCTATTTCCAGGTTTAGGGTCTGTTTTTCCTGTAGGTTCTTACACATCCAGCCAACGCTCTGCCTCCGCATGTGAAGGTGAAGAGCAAGTGGTGGTTATCAGGAATGGCACAAGGGCACTGGAGGTCAGTGGTGGGAGACTAAATTGTCTACAACTCCTCTGCTGGTTGTTTGACTTGCTGCAGCCAGACATCAGCTGCTTCCCGGGCAGAGGGAGTGAATGGAGGCAACAGGAGCTGGGTTGATTTGGTCGATGCTGCAAGTTTGCTTCCGAGGCTGGAGTAACCTTTTCCACTCCATGCAGAGCAGAGGTCAAAGCAAAATACAGAAAAGCAGTTGTCTTCAACAAACAACTGAGATATTTTAGGAATAAAGCCTGCAGTGTGCCTTTCCTTCACACTTGCCATTGTATGAGATCTTGATGCTTCTGCTCCAGCATCGTTCTGGTGGTGAAAACGCCTTCTGTAAGCCTTGCCTGACAGTGAGGACAGGGCTTCATGTACCAATTGGTGTGGAGCCCTGAGAGACTTGCAGTGAATTGATTCTGGGAGTTTGCATCAACCACATGCCGTGCAGTAACCAGCCACCAGTGTAACATAAAGCCAGATTTGCTTTGCTGGCTAGACCTGTTGTACATTGCGAAGCCAAAGTTGTTGCACACAAACATAAAATCAGCCATAAGTTGGTAGAGAATCAGACCCTGCAGCTGTATTAATTCAAATTAGTTTATGCAGTTCATCAGATCTAGTCACAGCTTCTGTTTCAATAGCAATTTCCTCTTCCTCACACATATGCTTATTAGAGGCATAAAGCACAGTTTAATGGAACAAAGATAAATTAAACGATCACTATTTATTGAGGGGTGGGTGGCTGGCTGATACTGGAAGTGGTTGACATTCTTCCTGTTTACACTCTAAAAAAGCAAATGAACTGCTGCACATCAAGGGAGGTTTCTGCTGTTGGAGCTGGAAAAACTTGAGAATCGATGCGTTTGTGCTCTGAGCTCAGACCTGCAGTTGCGTGCTGCTGGTGCTCAATCTGTCTCACACCCCAGATGATGTCCCCAGGGCTCAAGAGCCCTAATACTGCTCTTCAGAAGGGAGAGCTACAACATCAAAAACTAAGAGCTAACAGATGCCAATTAGCCTTTGCCACAGTGCCTTTCTGCTGTTGTAGCTTCTGAGAGAGACCTCCGTAATCAATAACAGTAGGTGATGCTACTTGCACAGATTGTAAATATATTTCACTGAGTGTTTTGACATTTTTGCTGATTCTGCCAAAGCTTAGGCACTGCCCTGCAGCTCTCCTCCGTGTGAGCAATCTCTACACTCACGCGTGGTAACTTAAACAGGAGACTTCTTACCCGAATAATAGTTGCAGGGCCAGAGCCCAAGCCTTAAAGATGGTGAAATATCCCCATCAATGAGTTCATAACAAAAAAATCATTGATTTATACATATATGTATATCTTTGTTTAATGCAGCTGGAGTATCTTCTTTTTAGGTAAGCATCATTTACCTTACCTATTTCTATGAAATGATTGCAAAGAAGTTAAAACATCTAAGAGCTTTTAATGCCTTAGAGGGATTTATAATTATAAGCTCCTTGACAGTTAAAATCTACTTAAGTAAATATGTCCATTGCTGCTGAATGTAACTTATAATAAAGTGTGTCATTTTATATACGTCTGTCTCACTCTTGGTGCTAGAGGTGTGACAAAATGTATGTTGCTGAGTTGAAGACTGCTGGGAAACCCAGGCTGGTTGTCTTGCATGGGAGATGAGGCTGTGGGTATGAATCCTCGTCTTCTAAGTGACAAGGCAGATGGCATCAGTACAGTCCTGAATGGATGGAGGCTGAATCCAGCAATGAAAGCGAGGATTTATTTTATTTTGGGCATAAATTGTTCCGTTGAGGAGAATGGGTCAGACTGACACCTTTCCTGAAGGTTGGGTGGCATAATTTGCTTAAATGCTTTTTGTTTTTTCAGTAACTGGCAGGCCAAGGGCAGCCCTGGTTGAAGGTGGGCAGATGCAGGGATTGTGATGGATGCATCACTGATGGAGAGGAGCAGGCTCAAGCCAAACAGCCTCAGGGTTTTCTGCTGGTGCCTGAGGCATGTCAGCTCTTGCTGCCTCCTCGAGTCTGACGTGAGGAGTCGGCGATTCGCTGCAAGGCTTTGAGCATCCTGAGCACCACGTACTGCAGTCGGCAGGAACCAGGTGACATCCCATCCTCATGTCCCTGAGGGAAGTGGTGGGTCAGTCCCACCAGGACTGTCTGCTGGCCATGCGTGCCAGCAGCAGAGAGCACGCCATGCGTACGCTCATGTGCGTGCTTGTCAGGGATCTGCGTCTTCACCAGCCAACGGCCTTTCAAGACAGAATTGCTGGTGGTGCTCAGGAGCCTCTTGCTGTCCATCGCATATTCCTGATGTCAGTCTAAGACCTTGATTTGAGGAATCCAACCCTCAAATAGCATGGATGCAGATGTTAAAGGCTTGAAGGCTTGATGTGATTTCTCTTACTAGGGTGGGGGCTTTTGTGTGTGACTTTTTTTCATGTAGCTCCTTCAAGTAGTACATTGAGAGAGGAACTCAGGGTTTTCCCCTCTTCTAGGTGAAAGGATTAAGGAAGACAAACAGCCGACAACCACTGTCTCTCTCAACTGAGACAACTCGGGCTGAGAAAATCTGTGGTCTTGTGAAAAAAAGGAAGCGCCTTACAAACCTGTGATAGAGCTACAACATATAAGTGGTTTGGGTTTTTTCCCTAGCTGTATTTATTACAGAATGTCAATATTTATGAGGAAAAGAATGAGGCCTCTTCTTAGTGAGAAAAAGCCTGCTAATTAATTAATAAGAAAAATCCTATTAAATAGAGCACACTGTTGTTTCTGTGCACTTGTTATACCAACCTGCTGAGTTTCTGAGTAGAATTAACTTTCTTTTATATTCTGTGGTATGACTTTACAGTTAAATAGAAAGAAGCTTGTTTGCTACTACGTTTCTTAGGTTATTCTGCAAGAAGTATGTCCTAAGAGAAAATAGATTTTCATCCAGTAGACTTTCAACCTAAGATTACTCTCATATTTTTACCAAAAAGCCCCCAAACCAGCACTAAGCTCCTAAGCCCAAATGGGAGCAGTTTCAGATGCAGAACTGAGAACCTAATGCCGAGGTTTGTATTTTTTAAAATGTTTTCCCCAATGGTACATTTTAATCCAAAAGGCATTTCAGGGAGCAGACATCTCCCTCAGCATTGGCTGTGCAGATGTCAGCGGACCCACGCCAGTGTGACTCCTCCGTTTCCACCGTCACTGCGGCTGTAACAGAAGCATGTGCAGGCAAGGATGTTTTCTTTGGAAAGAACATACTTGTTTTCTGGGGAGGGCTGCCAAGTTTATTTTTATGTGGAGAAACCTGAAAGTTAAGGTTGCTAACCTCTCCACTGTCCTGGGATGCCCACAGAAGTGACCGGCAGCGTGACTCCTTTTTGCAGATGCTCATACTGAACATCCCGTGTTTGCACAAAATCATCCCAAATGACTCAAAAGAC